TGGGTCGAAGTTCCCTTTCCACTTTTCGCCCCTGCACAGCCGGCCAACCTGCTTCAAGCCGAATGTTGATTTCAACCGAATCTCCGCAGCTGCACACCCACCGAAGACCACGCGGCCCAACCAGATGTATTACAGGCTAGCTTGGGTAGCTACAGTTAAGTCGAACAAAAATCCGCAAGACCCGGCAGCATCGCCTCAATCCCTAAACGAAGGCTAGTCATACTGATCTTGCTCACTGCCGTAGAGGTGCGAATCCCTCGTTCGCCAACTTCTTCTGCGACATCGGCACATTGTGCTTGCGCGAGTGGCATGTCCAGACCTGCGCCGAAGGACCGTTAATTGTGAATCCCACCTTTCCGAGTCAGGATCAACAAAAGCATTTATAGAGCACCCGGTGTCATGTATGAATCCTGTACGGAGCAGCTGACAGGTCGAGGCTTTGCCTCAGCTTCAATGCTCACTGGACCGAGGCAAGATGAGCTGCTCTTGCCAAGTCCGTCTTGAAGTTTACCCGCATCCCGCTCGTCTGCCCCAACAGTGTCTACCAAAACACCTTTAAGGGCTCAGAATTGTCCTCTTTTTCTGCAAAGTTCCAGCAAGTTTCAAGAAGGGTCCCTAAATCACGAAAACTGCTTTCTTCCCAGCACGCTGGCCCAGGACAACTTCAGGAAAGCTCAAGGAAGTTCATGAGGTCGGAGAAAAGCTATAGGACACGTTTTACAAGTAGGAAAACACGTTGCGGATCTTTCTGCGGGCCTTCGTTCTTTGTGGTTTGCATCGTTGTTCTGCTGCCATCGTTTGCTTCTTTTGCTGTTGGTGCTGCTCACACAGGTGTCACCCTTTTTTGTTTGGTCAGGCACATGTCTCCGGCCGGGCGTGCCTATAGGCCAATAACCGATAACTCACTACATCGCTGCTGGTCCGTTCGTGATTGGCTGGTGATTTCACTTCTTACTTCAGCGCCACTCACGCGCCTGTTGGGGTTGAGCTTCTACATTTTGGGGCGAGGCTGTCTAGAGTCTAGATCGGTTTCGCCCCAATCGGCCAAGCTTGGCTGCCAATCTTTGCGGGCTTGCAGCCAGCCTCCTCCTGTGATGCGATTTTGATGAACCGGTCCTGCCACAGGGTGAGAAGTTGCAGCATGCCTGGCGCCTAGGACAAAAGCTTTCGAGGAATTCCACTCTCCAGGCCGAGGGAACAGAATCTACGCAGGCCCACGGGGCATCGAATGCAAGAAGGAGGGCCCATAAACAGACCCTCACAAGGAAAACCCCGTGTAGATTGATCTCTGCTGCTTATTACTTTTTCTTTGCCATCCGCCTAGCCGATGCATGCTTTTGAATCTACTGGGATCACCGTGCCGCATTCAGCCCCTACAACTCGGTCCCTGTCGATGCGCAGCATTTCACAGGCAGTGTAGGCGCTGACTGTGAAAGGCGACCTCAGCGGCGCTGCAAGCAGCATCATCCTATTGTCTCGGAGTTTCCCGACCTGGAAAGATCATGCCCGTCTTATGGCTCAGAGCCGGTTCGAGGGATGGCCCTCAAAGAAGAATTTGCCAACAAAATGAACACCCCAGCTCAACAAGAATATGGCTGAGGGAGAAGGCCCTGATTACTCCAACGTCCTGTCCATCCACTTGCCATCCAAGTCATCCTTACGACCCTGCCGCCAGGAGACTCGACCGGCTCCCTGTCCCAGAGGCATTCCTCCCGAACAACATCAGCGGGCACTGTCCGAACTGTATTTCTCAATCCTGACAATTCGTTACAGGGCAAACCTATTTCGTGAGGAATCCGGGGGGAGCATTGATGGAATCTTCTGCTGCCCAGTACGAGGTGTGGGGTTGCTATATAAGGGCATCGGGGAGCCAGCTCAGCCTAAGACGAATGGACGCAGACATCGACTTTGTCTTCGTCTGCCTCGAATATCTCAAGCTAGAAAAAGTGTTGCCTCGTCAACTGCATCCAGGGACTCATCGCCCAAAATCATCACCTTGGCACGTGAGCTCCAACTGCATGCCTGTACGATTTCCCTCCTATCCCTCACGAACTTTAGCATTGTGCGTGTATCTGTTGTTCGCGCTGTCGACCCAGTATTCTAAGCCTCAACCCTCAGGTTCTACCAGTACAGCATTCTGCTAGCTCAACAGAACCGGGAAAAAAAACAACAACAAAGGAAAACCCCTTAGCACCTCTCAGGCGCTCCGCTATCGCAGAACACACACGAGATCTGGGGCAGCCCCATGCAGGCCAGGCACCTCTCCCCAGGCGTCGGAGGCCTGCAGCCGCCCTGCGCACAGCACCCACGCGGCTGTGGCGACCTAGGTGGAGCTTCTGAAGTTCTGAATACCTGTCCCGGCCCAGACGGAGGGGGCAAAGGTAAGTGGGTCTCTGGTGCATCATGTATCCCGACATGACCTTTGGCCTCTAATTACAGGTGTCAGAAGGCAGCAACTCCGTTGCTGAGCTCCAGGTGCTGAGCCGGTCAGCCCTCAAAAGCCCAACCAACGAGGTAACGTAAGGCCAGGAAGCACATCATGCTCATTCTACTCAAACAGCGACAATAGCAATTCTGCTGCTAGACTCTGTGGAGAATGGTGGAAAGCTTTGCTGCCAACTGGCCTCGCCCATTCGGCACGCCTGGAGACGGACAAGGCTTTGGTGATTCAAGTCAGGGCCTTTGTCTGCCAACAAAAACTCACACAGCACCTAGGCATGCGACTGTGCATGCTGCGGCACACGACAGGGTGGGGAGGGGAACCATAATGGTTTGATGCTTCCAAGTCAGCCCTATCTCGAGGATTTCGTAGCTGCTTTTCCCTTTCCTGATCGGCTACGCAGCCTGGCCTCATCCCCAGGGCAGAGATCCATGAGCTCAACGCACTTGTCACAAATTTCCTGGGCAGCGAGGCTCGAAGTGTCATCGTTGTCGAGCAAGCTGAACAGCAAAAATTGTGGGCCAACTTGCATGTCCGACATGCGCAGCGTGCAACTGAAACTCGAACTTCCAAGTCGAAGCTGTGTTATAAAGCCCTAGCTTAATTAAAATGTCGAGCCGGCAGCCTGCTCGGTTCCTTCGCATCTATCTTGACAAGGCACCGCCAGCTTGGGCTTGCTGAGCTCTGACACGCCCGGGAGCCTGTGTTCTTGCAGGGATTTCACAGTCTTGTGATTGCCTTGCTTCCCTGTGTTTGCCTAGCTGGGCCCTCCAGATTATTGGCTTGCACGGTGTTGCATGTTTTAAATGCGACTGAATGGAACTGAAGTAGGGTTCATCAGAAAGCACCCCTGCAGTGAGGGACCCCATTGGTTCGCAGCCATGAACCATTTCGTTCGGCTTGGCTTGGCTTCAGCAGAGGGGGTCGCGGTACACCCCATCGAGTAGTTACGGTTTGAGGCATGTCCAGCGAACGCCAGGCTCCTAAACCACTCGGTTGGAGGCCTCATCAAGTGCTGAAGGTGTTTTGCGCGGTCCACCTCCCGGCACAAAGTGGGATGTGGGGTTGAGGGTTGAGGACCTACAGTAAGGGGAGGGAAGTCGCTCACAGTCGCATTCTCTCGTTCTTGACTTCCTACACTCGCAAACTTTGCAAGGCCAGCAGAACCAGTGTCACCAGTGAAGGAAGGGACACAGGGTGACCTGCACGGTCTGCACCGGTACCATCCGGCACCGCAAGCAGAACATCTCTTCCCTCGTTCCCTTCTCTCGCTCCGTTGCATCCTGAAGAGGCCTTAGGGTTTAGGGTTTAGGGTTTCTTGCTCGCAAGATCATGCTTGCCATTCTATTTAAGTTGACAGCAGCCCCGATCCCATTTCATGGACCAGAACTGACAACATACTGACAATGCAGGGTGGCCAACTATGTCCAGGGCCCCTTTTGAGATGATAAGTGGATACGTCTGATGTCGTCCATGGAAACAGTGAGCGAACTTTTCGCGTCGCGGCCTCCCACTTCAGCTTCTCGGGCAGCCTCGGGCCCGCGTGAAAACCCGAATCAGGTTGGCAGAAATCTCAGCACTAGTCACTAGTCGTTCTTGTTTTCTCTGTTTCATGCAGATTTGACATCTGACTGTCAGAAAGCCCTAACAAAGCACCATACTTTCTCGTGGTGCCGAGATGCACTGAGAGCAGAGTGGCCTCCTTCGCCATGATCCGCCGCCGCTCGAACCTGGGAGCATGAGGTGAGGATGACTTTCGCTAACCAGAATGCAGTTTCGACTTGCTCTCACGAGTTTACAAGGTGCTCGGTTTCAAGAAAACTGTTGTTGCTAGTGCGCCTCTGACAAGGCAGATTAGAGACAAATGAGTTTGTTGAGGCTATTGAGATTGTGGAGGCTGTTGAGGTTGCTGAGGTTTCTGAGGTTGTTGAGGTTGCTGAGGTTTCTGAGGTTTCTGAGGAGGTTGTTTTTGCTGTTGCTGTTATTGCTGTTGTGGTTGCTGCGGAGGCTCACGCTGACAAGCTGGCGAGGACTTGGTTCGAAGTGATCTCCCATCGGCATCACGAGCCACTGACTGCTTGACATGTTGTGTCAGGGTCATGAAATAAGACAGGCAGGACTTTAGGAACCATCCGGATTCCGTCACCTAGTCTCTCGGTCGGCTGTCCTACTGTTGGGGCAAACTTGCTTCGGATCCTTCTGCCTGCAACCTTCGCAAACAAGGCAGAAGGCTCCCGAAGATTTGCCGGGGGGGGGGGGGGGGGGGGGGGGGGGGCGGGGGGGGATGGCTTGCCCAGGCACATGAGCGCCAAGAACTCTTTGATCTTTCTCCTGGCGTGGTGGCAGAAGCCCACCGTTCAACCCCCCCCGCATCTTTGTTCCAGAGCTTGTAACGAGAGACACCGGCAAGGATCCAGAACGACTAAACTTGACTAAGCCCGCTTGCGATGCGGGGCTACATTTATTACGCCACCCTGTGGGCACCGAAACCAACACATGAAGCTCGGGGCATGAACTCGTCGCCCCGTAAGATCCCTGACCCCACATGACCCGCAGCCTGTCAAGGCTTCAGAACCCTGAACGCTATGGGCCTGCATTGCTGGTCCATCTTCAGCTTCTTCATGTGCATCCGCACCTTGCTTGCGGACAAGTTTCTTCGCAGGTCCCCGCAGGTTTAAACAGCATTGCCACGAGCCAGCATCTTCTGTTTTCTGGCCGCGGCACGGCGAAGAGCTCGTCAGTGAAGGACCGGCTGCGCTCTGAAATCTTGAAGTATGCTTGCGTGAGCGAAGCCACCTTAGAGTCAGGTGAAAGGAAAATAGGCATGAAGATCCAAACTTAGAGATTCGCTTTAGCACATGCCTGCACGGCTTCGGGGGTGCTTTGAAGCAGACCTGCACTGGGAGCAAAATACTGTAAAATACAGCAAAAAGGGGGTGGGGGACCAAGGCCCAGGTTTTTCGGGCCTCGGGATACATCCTGGCCAAGGGGGCATCGGTGAGGACTTTACATCATTTGGCCACATGGAGTGGCCGAGAAGAATCTTGCTCAGATACGATGCTTGCGAGGCACCGAGATTGCAAAGGCAGAAAGCGCAAAGAACCTCGGACAATCAGGCACCGGCATGCGCATTCTGTGCATGTGCGTAGTGTGTATGTACGAATGTAAATTAAGATGCTGAAGTATATGCATATGTGCATGTAGGCCTGAACAAACAGACCGTCACTGAGGTATTGGGTGCATGACGTAGAAAGAGTCACAAAACTTACACCTCAACCCCGACGGGGACGATCAAAAAAGCCGCTAGCCAAGCCCGAAAGCACAGTCCGCACAAGGCTATGGCCACAGCGGAAACCCACGTGCAAAGCTTTGCAGCTGTTTGCTTAACATGCGGCGTTTAAATGGTTACGTACGCATGCCCATGCATACCACAAGCATGCCTAAGCCTGATCTTTATCTCCTGAGGATTGCTGTGTTTCACCTTGTCGGGCGACATGTGAGGCACGGCACGTCAAGGATTCCCAACGGTGCAGCTGAGGCGCATGAACAGCAGGACAAAGACCCGCTCAGCCAAGTTCACCTCGGCTGCAGGCGGGCGAAAACAAGCACCGTCTAGTTCTATCAACGCGCCTAGAGAATGAGTTGGGTTTTGGAGTGACCAGAAAGCATCGCATCTCCGTCAGGGAGCTGGAGTGACCTCGGCCGGCATGGTCCTGCGCGGTACATCAAGTCCGAAAGAAACTTTGTGTGTAGAAGTGCGTGACAAATTCTTATCATTGGGCGCGGCACTATTTACAATACGCTGCTAATGCTGTAGGCTCAAAAAGCTGCAGAACTGTGAATGGCTCGTACTTCTGTGCACAGCTGAAGCTCGGCTGTGATGCAGTTATTCTGCTCTGCTGGCGCAGTGCCGCAGAAGCCCCCCATTCTCAGACCCAGGACATGATGTCTGGCGAATCGAAACATGGTTTTCAAGTTCAGGCCCGAGTCCTCATAACTCCCAACGTCCAATAGAAGCAGAAAATGTACCTGCAAGCGAGGCGTAGAACGAGAGAAATGAACAGTCGAAGCAACAGTCTGCATCTTGCCATGGGGGTGAGTAAGAAGTCTGGATCCTTCGTCCTAGGCTGGATGCTTGCAGTTACGCAAATTGCCCCTCCAAGGTCCTCCTTCTTCTCCCTACTATCCCTGGACCAAGGGACGACTCTGACGTCGGCCGGTCGACCCAACGCCAAACTTCTTGCTCCGGGCCATGGGTCCTGTTCAAGCACCACGGGAAGAGTGAGTTATTATTAGTTCCCAGGCGGTTGCCACCTTTCTGAGGGCTGTACAGAGACTGCTTCGAGGGAAGGAAGAGAGGCGCACCCGCCCGGCCCCCAGTCCTGTAGATGGTCGTCCAGTGAGGTACTTGCGCAAACTCCTGTCGAGGCACTTCGGCTTTTTGGCGACACCGCAGGTCGGTCGATATATATCTCCTTCCTACAACTACATTGAATCCGCCTCGTCCGAAATCATCCGCAGCAGGCAGGGTCTCTGAAGGGTTCAGATGCGGGTAGCCTAGACGATCTTTGAACAAATCCTGATGCAGCACTTTTTAAGGAGGGGGAAAGATGCCCGGATATGTTTGACATGAAGCTCCTGGTACATCTCATTGGGCATGAGATCTGTGATGAGGCTTTCCTCGTGAGGACCGAAGTTCACATTACAAAAGTGGCTACGAGACCGCGCGAGGCCCTGAGACGCGTTTAGTGATTCGTCGACATTCGCCTCGAGTCTCAGGAGATGGTATGGTTCTGGGACAACCGCTGGTTTGACTCTTGCGGCTGATGCATGCATGGCGATCCGTGACCTAACAGTGGCAGCCTGACGTCAGTGCAGACAATTCTCAACTCTGTACATGCACCTTCTTGAGAAAGTATCCTGAATAAGCCCTTGACAAACTGAAGCAAAAGATCCTGAACCTCGCTGTGAGATCATCTAGTCTAAGTCTACCAAAACCGGAGGTCGGGCCGGCGTTTCTGCTAAACAATCACGCTGAGCTTTCAGGCGAGCCTCTGCAATAGCAGCCCAGTAGCAGGAACAAGAGCAAACCCTGAACCCTAAAGGATGCAGGTGAGCGGCCGGACTCCCAACGATCCAGAAGATGCACGCGCTCCAGTGGCCTTGGATTGGAGCATGGCTCAGGGTTTTGTCGCTCCCGCATAGCATGGCATAGGTTTTTTTTTTGGCACCGGACTAGCCACAGCACGGCAGGGTTTGAAGGTCGGCTTGGGAGAAAGCAGGAAAACTTAAACTCCAAGGATAGGCCAGCGGCCAGTCTCGCCTCGGGATAGCGTCCTATATGGCATTCAGAAGAGGAAATGTTAGCGTCATTGGGAGCCCCCTCATAGGGTTTAGAGTTTTGGGTTTGGGGTTTAGGGAGAGCGCGGCGAGATGGCTCTGATTCGGCCATGGCAGGCAAGGAGCAAATGGCAACAACAATGACGAGGATGCGAACCAGCATCATCGACCTGGAGTTCTTTTGAGGCAGCTTTGGTGGAAACGTCAGTGGAAACCCACACTCTTTCTCAAAACTTGAGCATGGCCGGGCCACTGCACCAGGAGCACGGAGCCAATCTCGTCCTCAACACGCTCCCACAGCTTTCCTCAGCTTCCCAATTCGGAGGTTGCAAGGGCAGTTGGCCTCAAGACATATCTTCAAAACAGCTGGTCATGACGCGATGGTCGTGGTTCAGGATGTTCTACGAAGAAGGGCCCGAAGGCGCATGGGCCTAGGCCCGAAACCCTGCAAACCCTAAACCCTAAACCCTAAACCCTAAACCCTAAACCCTGCAAACCCTAAACCCTGCAAACCCTAAACCCTGCAAACCCTAAACCCTAAACCCTAAACCCTAAACCCTAAACCCTAAACCCTAAACCCTAAACCCTAAACCCTAAACCCTAAAGCGCTGAACTTGCTTGCCAAGGATCGGAGCTTGGCCATGCGAAGCCTTTTGAGGGGAAGGACACGAGAAATAGGGGCACCCTTTCTGAGGGTCGATTCTATTCTGTTTCGGGTTTAGGGTTTAGGGTTTAGGGTTTAGGGTTTAGGCTTTAGGGTTTAGGGTTTCGGGTTTAGGGTTTGGGGTTTAGGGTATAAAAGGGGGCACCCCTATTTTGGGAAATACCCACACGGAAAAGCAGCAAAAAGAGGGCCACCGGTCCCGCGCACGAAAGATGCGCAGCCAACTTCACTCCGGTGCCATCCCCGAACTCTGGAGCGCTGCTCTTATTGAATGTAAGGGAGTTGCCCAAGATTAGGGTTTAGGGACCGATTTTAGGGTGAGGGTAAGGAATTCTAGTATCCTGGGGTATGTTAGGGGTACCCCAATTTTCAGAAACCCCTTCAAAATCCCTTAAATCAGCCAAGGAGCATGCGCATCAACCTCATCAGGCGAAGAAACTTCACCACCTGCACGTGGGGGGGGGGGGGGTGATCCAAGATACTTCAATTCATGCCTTGAACTGTGTGATGGAACAGACTCACTACCGTTACATTAGACAGGTCGATCAGGGAAGGGAAGGGAGCCCCGGGAGTCCCAGGAGATGGCACGGATCTACCATCTACCCACGTCTCGCCGTCGAGGAGACTTGTTCTCCCCAATTTGAACCCCAGAGGTGGTTTGCAGATCAAGCCCAGGATGGAATTCATTGGGCTTCCTGGCTTTTATGGCCGTGGCTCCTCAAATGTCGCAACCCGAACAACCGGCACTTCTCGGCTTGAAAGGCTGCCCGGCCCAGCCTTGAGCAGCTTGGCGGCCTGGGTGGAACCACCTCCTGCTTCCAGGCTTGTTGTTTGGCTCTTCATTTCATTCGTGATTAAGGAGCTCCCTAAGACCTAAGATGCTGCTTAAAGAAGCCGTGCATTGAAGGCTCCCTCCCACTAGCTGCGACCGTGCCTTCTTCGCTTCCGGCGAAGATCGAGACTAAGCGGGGCCATGGAACCTAGGTTCGGCTGAGAAGGGGTTCCGGGAGGGGGGGCACATCGGGTAGGGTCCTGTGCAAAATGAGCATTGCCCCCCCCCCCCCCCTCCCGCCCCCTCCTCCATCCCCCACCCACTTCCCCGCGCGACTTGTAGCAGTTCGGCTTGTGCAGCGCATACTTGGGACTTCGTCCTTTGGCTTGTGGGGAAGCCGGAGTGACCCATTAAGTGACCCATTCCAAGACAAGTGCTGGTCTGGTCTTTGGGCAGGCTGACCTATGAATCGGGGTCCCAATCACGGAGAACATCCCAAACTGGATTCATCATCCCACTGCCCGAGTACAAGGCATAAGGCTTCTCCTTTTGCCGGGTCGAAGCGGGCTCTGGGAGCATCTTCAATTCTTTCGTGCTGGGGATGATGGCACTAGTTGCTCCTTGTTTTCTTTCGACTCTTCACACTCTCTTCTTCTTCTTCATCTTCTTCTTCTTCTTCTTCTTCTTCTTCTTCTCCTCCTCCCTGCTGAAGAGAGTATCCCTTCCTTCCTTCCACAGCCGAAGATCCCCCCCTTGCGGGAGTATCCCTCTCTCTCTCTCTCTCTCTCTCTCTCTCTGTGTGTCAGTGTCAGTGTGTGGCCTCCGGCGCTCCAGACAGCCCCTTTAGCCCGTCTCAACCCAACGCTGAAACCACAGTCGATGCCCGACCCCCAAGTGCCAGGAAAAGGGGCCGTGCTGAAGAAGTCGATGCCAAACCAACCTCGGGCCTGGGTCGACAAGGCGGGGGAGGGGGGGGGGGGCTAAGGGCTTGATGATCTGCATGCCGGAGGGATCCTAATCAAATAATTCCGACGCCGTCTAACACCTGTTGTGCTGTTTACAAAATTTGCCAAGCCGGTTAAGTGGGGCTGTGAAGAACTACAGCACGTCATTGTGAGCGGTTTTGCACAGCTACTTGTGCAGGTTGTTGTGTTCACGGCATCTTGGAAAGACTGACAGGGGCCATCCAAGGCTTTCTCAAATTTGTGTAGTTACATCCCCAAACCTCAAGGATTGACCCCCGCCCCCCAAAAGGTCTTAAAGACATGCTCTCCGATCTGCAGCCAACAAGCATAAACAGTGGCAATCGCTCTCCTGCGAAATGGAAGGAGATGAACTTGGGACTCAGGGCTTTGAACGATTTGTTTGGTTTGTGCCATGTGCAGCTCACCGTACCGGGAGAGGCCAGACTTCTGAGATCTTCTGAGGCAGATTTGTGAAGGGTGGTTCCGGAGCACCAAGACGCGCCCCCGTCCTGTCACGGATCAAAGCATCCGGCCGACTGCCATCGTCATCCACTTGGATCGCCGTATTGAAGTTGGCAATTATGTCGAGGCCTGCAAGATGCTTGTAAACGCTCGCAGCTACTTGCAGAGAACACCAGAGAGCTAGGGACAGTGTCCTTACTGGGTGCGTGTGCGCGTGTCTGCCTGTCAGCCGTGATGCACTGTCGAGAAGGCCACTCACTACCAAGCAGGCCAAGACGTGAGCAGATCAGCATTGCCTATGACTTTGATTGCGTGCGCTCCGACGGCAGAAGCCAATCTTGCCGGCATGGTATTTCAAGACCACCATGAACCATGAGCTCTACATTGGTAGCGGAACCACCAGGGTCACTAAAGCCCGTGCCGACCTTATCTACATGCAAGCCGAGAAAGCAGAGGCCGGGACCAAACAAAATCGTAGTCCACCAAAACCAAAACTCGTCGAAGCCATCCTGCTTTTCATTCCTGGGACATGATGAAATGAATGTTCAGCAAAATCATACGCGGAAGAAGACAGAGGGAGCGAGAGAGAGAGAGAGAGAAAGACAGAGAGAGCGAGAGAGACAGAGAGCGCGAGAGAGCGAGAGTGAGAGAGAGAGGAACAAGAACAACACATCCAACTCTGCCCCTGAAGTCACGGCATTGCGCCGGAGTTGCTCCCACAAATAGCCTTGAGCTGTCCCAACACGTAGACTTTGATCCCTGGCTTGACAACTGGCTTTGACCCCCTTTGCCGGAAAGCATCTTGAAAGCAAGCTGAAAAGGGAGGATCAAGGCATCGGCGAGGACCACAAACATCACCTTTGAGTGGAAGGCTGCGTACGCCGACATGACAATCTGGTAAGCAGATGTATGAAAGTAGCGACACCTGCGCGAGAGACTTGTTTGGGGCAGTTTCTGCAAACCCGCTGTTGCGGAACAGGTGGGGAGAGAGGGGGCATGTTCGAGAAGCGGTGTCTGCCGTCTGCCGTCTGCCGTCTGCCGTCCAAGCAACGAAGAAGTCCCAGAAAAGTTTTGTTCCCCACCGTGGATCAATCAGGCATCCTTGGCTGGCGCAAACCCCGCCGAACCCCGACTTGCCTGGACTGCGGCGCTCTCGAAAAAGCCACGCATAGCGCTGCAGTCTCGACATCATCTTGTCCACACGCTCGATTACTGACCTATTCTGAATGCAAGGGTGCAAACTCTGGCAAGCACCTCTGTATCATGCCATTGGCCCCGCTGTGATCATATTTATCGAAGGCACGAGGGGAGGCGTCGAGAGCCTTGCATGTTAGGGGCAAGATTCGGCCAGATTGCAAAGCTCGTGTGCTGTGACATTGCGGCAAGACAAAACAACCTTGCTGTGATCTTGCACAGCAAACCACAACAGCCAGCCCCTTCTCATACACATACGCTGTGCATCCAGGGACGTCGTTCCTCAGGTGACCTCAGGTGTCACGACTGCAAGCCATGCCAGAACGCGTAGACGGGATCTCGAATCTGACTTTAGCTGCTGGCAGCAACTCTTCCCCTACTGCCAGAAGTTCACCGCGCAACTCTCGCACGGACACTTCTACGGGCACTCCTTCCCATGAAATCACACTGGGCCCTCGAAAAGCAGCGCAAATCATTGTGTCTGTCAATGGACGATTGAGAGATGTTGAGAGATGCTTTCGAAGCACCCTTCCTATCCCACCCTCACAGAGCCAGCTTAAGGCGTTTTCCGCAGTCCGCCGTATGCAGCAGCCCAACAGTAAACCATCAATGGCTGGTAGCAATCTCTATCAAGGCCTTCAAGCACAAGTCTGTCTTGAGTTCCCTGAATGCAGGCATAAGGCCGAATCGAGCAGGGCTCCTGGACTGGATGTGTCCTGGCACGTGCGAGACACCAGAATACGCTTACCCTAAACCCTAAACCAACAACCCTCAACCCTCAATCCTAAGCCCCCATAGGCCCTATACCCGACGCCAGCAAACCAAGTTAATGCCGGCGTGAGCTCAACCTAACATCCTTGCGGCATGTTTCGTTTTAACCCTAATACTATAACTATTTAAGGAGGCTTTTTTAAACCCAATACTATAACTATTAAAGGAGATTATTTAACCCTTGTACTATAACTATAGAGGAGATTATATGCGGTAAGAACTTGAACTCGAGTCTTCAAGGAGTGGTTGGACGGCCTTACACGCCGGAAGGAGATGCCAGATGGCTTTGGGTAACAAACCCCGAGAATGAGAGCTGCAGGGTGAGAACGGCTGCACCTTGGGATGCCCCCCCTTATGATAGGGGGTACTATACTCCCTGTTAAGGGCTGTTAGTACAAGGGGGGAACATCCCAAGCTACACGCCCTAAAAGATGATGCTGCACACTTTACTATAGGAACGTCATATTGGCAAGCCCTCAAACCTGAAAAGGCGATGTTCTGAGACAAGCTCTACAACCCAGTTTTCGGGATGCTGGGTGGTAATTAAGCCCCATGTAAGCCCTAAGCCCGAAGGAAGATGTGGGCCGGGAAACATTCGAACTACAAGTGGTGAACTTGGTTTCTTTCCTTCGTTGTGAACTCCAACTCTCAGCCATGGTCTCGGCTTTCATGTCCTTGTTTTGGTTCATGTAGTTCATGCATCATGTCATTACTTGCACATCACTACGAGTAGCTTCTTCGCCAATGAGCAGGGACCTGAACCGTCAGACGCGAGTTTTCTTTGCACCCGAAAAGTCTCAACTAGATTGTCTAAGCCTAAGCAAGAAAGAAACAATGCAGGTAACCTGCAGGTGGTGCACGTGGTAAGCTAAATCAAAGTCGTCCCACAAGCGTGCAAAACCGCCTCGGAGGCTGCGCGAGGAGGTGCCTTGCTTGAGAACTCTGGCTTTCGGCGACTTCTCCTCAGGATGGTGGACCATGCTGCAACGGGGGTTTCTAGGGTAGAGGACTCCACTGGACAAGGAGCTGTTTAGAAGCAACGCGGCCGTGACTGCTAACCCCTCGGCGTTGCCATGGAAGGCCATCAAGTTAACTTGCACAACTAGTGCACCCCTTTGGGGCGTTTCGCCCTCGCACTCGCGCGCAGCAGGGCTCAGTGGCCCGAACTCTATATTCACTAGCCAAATCCAAGAGATCAGAATGATGAAAACAAAGTTGTTTGGGGTACTTATTGCGAGTGTACTTTTGTGAGAGATCAGCTGCAAAATGTTTCCCTTGAGATTCGTGCGAATTTGCTTGACATGAGATTTGCACCCGTATCACAACTTTCGCAATGTGTTCTGAGAAGCGAGAGTCCCGGCAAACATGTTCATATTACAAGTGTCCACAGCACAAGCAATTGGCCCTCATTTGAAACTTAATTACTTGGCCCTTAATTATTCCGCATCGTCAGGCAAACCACAGTAGGCACCACAGAGCCCCGAAATGGAGGGCCTAAGCCGAGAGCCGCGCCCTGAAACCAAGGGCGACCCCTATGCATGTTGCGCAGGCAGCCAGGAGGCGCTAGCGTTGGTGGCTTCATGTTCAACCTCCATCTCCTGAACGACGCATATGGTCAGGGCAAGGGATGAAGAGTTGGTGTGGCGAGTAAATAATTCACAAAGGTTTTTCCTCTGGGGTCAACCCGTCTATGGACCCAGTTTTTGGGGCCGTTCTTCTACCTTGCAACAGCGAAGGCGAACGGAATCTTTGAGAGTCTTTGGTGCCAAGCGGCGAGGCAAACAAGAAAAACAAAAGACAGGGCTCCCTGCCCGGCCTCGCCATCTTCTGACTGCTTGTCATTTGGCTTCACCCACGTGGAAACATTGGTGGCGTGGTTGTAGTAATACTTTCGGCCTGGCTCGCGACTTGGGGAAAGGCATGGCAAAAAGAAGGAATGGAACGTCATCTGTCTGCTTATATAACCTTATCACACGCAGTCTGAAGGCCGCCTGAAACTACATCAAAAGCCAGTGTCCTCGGCAGCGACTCAATGAATACGTACACACACGCGCTGCCTGACGGGGCCCGATGCTCGGACCAGGAAAAGCAGCCCTCCTCCGCCTTCGAGTATTGCATTGTGGCGGCGGGCATGGGGTCACTTCTGTTAGGACGTTGAAATGTCCTTACTCCGGGTAGTCTCCGCACTCTTCTCCCAGTACGATAACCGAGATGCTCGCGGCAACCCGTCTAAACCCAGGACTCTGCTGGCCCTTGCTACGAAAAGCATCGAAAAAACATGGCTGAGTTCGGTTCCCGAGATGGCCAGCCGGGGAAAGAAGTTCGCAATGCAAAGGAGCAGGCAGAGGAGGGGAGCAGGAGAATGATGTTAAGGCAAATCCTGAGGCCTCAACCTGACGGGTGGGGACTGAAAAAACAAAGGGTCGTACACTCATTCTATAGTATGTAGTAAGAAAGTCAACCAGCTCTTGCGCTGAAACATGCGACGTGACCGACATCACGACACAGCTTCTGCTTTCAACTGCTCTGCCGGCCTGAGATCCGTTGCTTCCATAGACGCCCGCGGCACCAAACATGCCAGGGCAAACGAGGGAACTCCTGGGCGTGAGTGTGTCGTACTGGACCTAAATGGACTTATGGGACATCCATGCCTTGCCCTTACAAGCAAGGGAGTGTGAAAGCGGTAGCGCCTGGAGGGGGGGATGGGGGGATGGGCTAGGGCTGGTTCTCAACAATTCCTGCCGGCATGCCTTCGAAGCAACTATAAGGATTCTGTTTTGCCCCTGTCTTCTGCGTCTGGTGTCCTGCCTCATACTTATTCGGATGAAGGGGCTCACAGCAGTTCTCTGATTGCAGTGCAAGCGCCATTACCGGTACCACGCTTTCTGGCGGGGTTTTGCATGACATTGTTTTATGGTTCACTGCAGTATGCTCCATGCCTGCCAACCCTTCGGCCCCCGGATGCCACTCGAGTACTGCAGAGAAGCTAAAGTGTCTTGCGGCTTTTCACTAGCGACCAGCCACCAAATCAACCAACTCGGAGTCAGAAACACCGCAAGGGTGTGAGTGACCATGCTAGGCTTGGCCTGCACCACATCGGAACTTCGAAAACTCGCGCCAGAACTACAGTGTGTGATTGGGACTGAGTGGCCGCTTCTACCCAATCGCGCACACAAAAGTATTTGAAATCATGAGGCATGGTGCGCAGTGAGGATAGCACACATCGTGAACAGCACCAGCAAAGCAAGTAAGTCTACTGGCTTGGAATTTGAGCTGAGACTGTGGCACCGATGGCAAGCAAGAAGAATGTCCTGAGCCCGATCCGGATAAAGAACGCTTTCAGTTTCAAATCTGAAACCTGACAGCTCTTCTTAGTGAACTGCAGGGGAAGCCGTTCTCTCGCGCAGAAAAAGCGGTCCCTCGATGCAGTCGAGCGTCGGGTGGCAGCCGCGTTCGCGGCCTGGCGCCTTTCCTCCTTGCGCTCTTGGCTGAGGTTGCGCGCTTGGACGAAGTCCCGGGAGAAACCTGTGCCGGACTGAGGTGCACTGAGACTAGTCTGAATCCCAAGACTGACATGGCTCGACCCACTAATTAGAATCCCAGTATGTCTTTTTGATGGCCCTCCCGTCTTTGCCTGCAGATTCTGCCACAGGCTTACCTGCACAGAGCCAGGATCTCTGACAAGATGATAGAGGGCTGTTTTACTACACAAAGCAGGGAGCTACTTGCGTGTAGCTCCTGACTCACTGCTATCAGAAGTAACGACAAGTGTTCGGGCTCAGCATGCACGCTCTGGCGTGGAGATTTCTCAATGAAGTCCGTATTGAAAGGTGACGTGCCTACAACTTCTGGATGGATGTCCTCTTGGCTGACCTCTCCATGGCGAACCT